AATTCACTGCTGACATCTCTACTTTCCAAGATTTTCGCAACTGGTCAAGAGAAAAGCCACACTTCTACTTCCTGCAACCTAGCAGATGATGTACTCCAAAGGGTCCTTTCACTGTAAGACAACCTCACACTTATTAAAACTCACTTTTCTATGCTTTCTTGGGCTTGAAGGAGATATCGGAAATCTCTAGGGCTCCCCCAGCCCTGCTACACACACGCACATGCATGCACACAGTGAGCTGAAGCTAAATTAAGGATGAAAGCACAGGTGAGCAGCTAGCCAGAACAAATGGGGGGGGGGGGGAAGGGAAATTCTCCACGGTCAAATGCTTATGTCAGAAGGACCTTGAGGGTACTAAATCCTGAGCAATTTGCAAGGTAGAGATTCTGCATCTAAAAGTCCCGGCCACAAATCCTAGAAAGAGACCCCAGAAAAATCCTCTTGCTTCCTAATAGACGCAATAACCACTATTCTTAAGAAGAAAAAAAAAAAAAAAGAATTACTCCAATATGGCCAGAAACAAAAATGCTCCTTGGAAGTCATATTTATGTACACCTTTTTACTGGGCCTGGATGCCATACCATTGTCTATTGGACATCCTCTTCTGAATGTCCTGAGGCTCCCAGACTCAACAGATCCAATGATCTCCACTGCACCAACCACATCACTACCCTCTCCACGACCCGCTTTTCCTGGTCTCTTCCCTATTCAAGATAATTTCTTAAACCAGATCCTTAAAGGTCATCCTCTATTAGTCCTTTTCAGCCATAACCCACATGCAAAGCAGTCACCAGACTCTATTAATTCTCTCTTGTAGCTGTTATAATATCCCCTCTTGAACGTCACTTCCACCCTCCCCATGACTTCACTTCTCTCGCATGGTCTAGTGGTGATAGCAGAGAAGTGGTTCTCCTTTGCATCTAGCCCTAATTCCTTCGGATCTACTTTTGAAACTTCCATCACAAAAGATCTTCTAGGGGCGTGTGGGTGGCTCGGTCGGTTAAGCATCCGACTTCAGCTCAGTCATGATCTCACAGTCCGTGAGTTCGAGCCCCGCATCGGGCTCTGGGCTGACGGCTCGGAGCCCAGAGCCTGCTTCGGATTCTGTGTCTCCCTCTCTCTCTGCCCCTCCCCTGCTCATGCTCTGTCTCTCTTCGTCTCAAAAATAAAAATAAAAAACATTAAAAAAATGTATAAAAAAGATCTTCTGTATGCAATTTGCTCATTTCCATTTTAAACCCCTCCAATAAGGCCATGTCATTTACGAGACAAAAGTCAAACTCATGGCAGGAAAGGTCCTTTGTAGTCTGGTGTCTCAACTCTTGTCATTCCTTCCTTCGTATTTCACGCTCCAATTTTGTAAAAGCTACTCTTTGTGCATCGGGGGCCTCTGAAGAGGCTTCTGCCGCTGCTCTCAGTCCCCTCGGCCGAACACTCTGCTGCCTGACAACGTTCTCTCATATTTCAAAGCACAGCTCCGATACTGTTTTCCACAGCAGGCATTCTGTGTCCTTGAATTTCTGGGCAGAGACTGACTGAGTTTTCCGTCTTGTGCTTAAACTTCAGTTACTCCACCCACTTGACAACATGGCAATCTGTCATTAGAATGTCTGTCACCTTTTGTGCCTTTGGGGGCAGAGACTCTCCCAGTTCTCTCTGGGCTCCTCATACCCATCACGGGGTCGAGAATCCAGCAGATGATAAATATTCTTCAGTGAATGAGCGAAGGCAACACAAGTGAACGGGCAAACTGACTGCCACCCAGAAGTGGCACGCTTTTCCCCTCTCTTCTGCAGCGGTGACGTCCTTCGCTACATTAGAGGGCAGGAGGGAGACAGGATCAGGAAGACTAGCTTCTGGTTCTGTCTGGGTTGAGGATTTGCTTTAGTGGCATGGGGGCTTCTCTACCTGGTGGCCCCAATGGTGGGCAGCCTCTGCTCCTTCCTGTTGGCTAACTAGCGCCGAAGCGTAATTTTCAAAAAAGTTAAAAGTGTCTTTTGTGTACATAAAAGATGAACACGTTGGAGATATTATCCAACTCACTAACTAGCGAGGGAATCGGTTTTAAGAAAGATTTGAAAAATACGTATGCAGTAAGATACGCTGAAATGAATTTTCTTTTCTTAAAGTTTACTTTTGAGAGAGAGAGAGAGAGAGAGAGAGAGAGCGAGCAGGGGAGGGGCAGAGAGGGAGGGAGAGAGAGAATCCCAAGCAGGCTCCAGGCTGTCAGCATAATCTGACACAGGGCTCAAACCCACTAACAATGAGATGATGACTTGAGCCGAAGTCAAGAGTCAGACACTTAACCGACTAAGTCCCCCAGACGACCCTATAACGAATTTATCTTACAGGGCTATGAAATGTAATGTTTGGGGTTGTCTCTTCTACAAGGCAGAAATCAATTATATTTATTTTTTTATTTTAGAAAGTGAGAGAGAGTACGAGCAGGGAAGGGGCAGAAGGAGAGAGAGAGAGAGAGAGAGAGAGAGGGAGAGAGAGAGAGAGAGAATGAATTCCTGACATGGGGCTCGATCCAACAACCCCAGAATCATGACCTGAGCTGAAATCAAGAGTCAGAAGCTCAACTGACTGAACCATCCAGGAGCCCCTCAATTAAATTTCTAAGAGGTAACATTTATTTGCATTGCTACAGACAGGAACAATTTGCGTTATTGCCATTTTTATACTATTTCTATCTTTACAGATTTATGGATAGCCTGGTCAGTGCCAAGTCAGAGGTGCTCACCCTCGTAAAATCAGCTGTCCTCCAGAGGATCTGCTAGACAATGTGAGTCACTGTATCGTAAAGACAATCGTCATTTCCAAGTCTTGGGTATTTGCTCTCTGTCATTAGCAAGATAACGCTACTACATTTCCCAAAGCAAAATGATACTCCGTGGACTGGACAAAGAATCCTTATGACGTATTAAAGACCTTGTAACTGAGAGGTCAAGTGGAGGTACAAAGTGCTACAGAGTGGGTACTTTGATTTTTCTCCACGCAATGATTTTAAAAGGCAGGGTTTTGTGGTGGTTAATAACAGATTCTGGAGTCAAACTGACTGGCTTTGAATTTCAGCTCCAAGACTGTGTAGCCTCGGGCGAGTTGGGTTTACCTCTCGGTGCCTTGGTTTTTTCATTTGAAACAAAAGAGGAAGACAGCATTTGCCTGGAGCTTGGGATGAAAGCAGCGAGGGGTGTGTGTGTGTGTGCGCGCGTGCATGCGCGCACATGCATCACTTAGAACAGTGCCTGGCACACGGTTCCCATTCTAAGGATTTGTTAAACAAAATTTAAAGATGCAGCACAAACAGAGGTAGAGGGAGGAAGGGTCCACCTGTAAATCTGTGGAGGCATTTGTCACGAGTGCCGCTGAGACTGAGAAGGGCACGCTCTTGGCTTTTACTCCAACACACTCATCTGTTAAGGGAAATGGCTGCCCCTGAATTACCTAAGGCCAAAGACAATCCAACCCAGATACCACTGTTTTCTTTTGATGTTAATCCCGTGGGGAAGTTTCTTCTTTTGAAGGATGTCCAGCGTATAGTTTGCTGTGGGGAAATAACATTCCTTCTCAGAATGGCTTGACCCTGTGCCTTGCAAAGACAATGCCAGGATTATTATACTGAAAAAGCACTTGCTAGAGAATGGATCTAAGCCCCGAAGGACAGAGAACTCCATCCCCATCTAGAATCGATCTGCTCCTCATATTTTCTGACCTCAGTTCCTCCCACTAATCAAAAGGGATCATCTGAGCTTAAATGGGATTCACTATTGCTTGGATCTTGCCATCAGCAGTGATGGTGTGCAAATAAATGGAAAGCTACAAGCATTCCACAAACCCGTATCATACGAACTGGAACTTTAACATGTGTATATGCAATCCAGAAATAGGGAAAGTGTGGGTCAAGGCAGCGAACAAAATCGACACTAGGCAGAACAAGCTACCAGCGTGACGTGCTCATCATGTATCTTGTTTTCTCAATGAATAAAAACCTTGAAAGAAGGTAACACTTTCTAATACTTTTTACTAAATTTGGGGAAGCTTAGATTTAATGCCTTGTCAAGGTGACACAGTAATTACAAGGCCCACATGGGGTGACTCGAGCCACAGTGGGAATCACAGGAGACCAGGAAGTTCCCATTACATCTTTTCTCTCCAGGCGCATGGTCGTACACTGGGCGTGCCCCTCGGGGTCACACGCAGTCCAGAGAATGCTTTCCTGCCTTGAGACCAGGGATTTAGGTAGCCTTAGATAAGTGGCCACGGCAAATATGACCTCTCCCATTTGCCATACTCCCATTCACACCTCACTCATGTAGAGACTCTTTATTTAGGAGTAGGTCCAAAACTATTTTCAAAATACAGTTTTTCATGAAAAAATTCCCAGGAACCAAATACTTTCTTTCAAAGTTTTTATTTGAGCAAAAGGAAAAAAAAAAAAATATATATATATATATATATATATATATATATGTATGTATATTTCAGATACGATTTAGAAAAGTCAACACTGACAACAGAATAAAATAACATTATCACCATAATTATATAATTTACATATATTACTTACATTAATTGTCATTTCCTGGTATATTCTGTTTTTACTCCAAAAGAATTAAAAAAATGTACTTGTTGAAACCTTCAATGGCCACAGAAACAAATTATTTCTTAATATTAGTTAAGGCAAAGAAATCATGATAATGTCTCAGTTGTGGGATGGTCAGGGACCAAGATAGTCTATGGCCCCTTGAAGGTGTCTGTTTTGAAGCTGAATAGTTGAATCAAGTAAAAATTGACAGTGAGGGTTTTCAAAATCGAAAAATCTTATGCAATTTGTATGACCATTTACATGTATGATCGTTTATCTCTGGCCTATAGACTTTACCTTATTTTATGAAACGCACCAGCATGCACTGTTACTCTGGCCACAGAACAAGTAAGCAATAAATTCTTATTTAACTGAAGTGAATGGACAAACATTACTAATTACACCCTTCCTAACAACCTAAATTGATATCGTGTTTCAGCCTTTTGGTGACACGATGGGATAGGACATCATATTCCGATACATGAGATCCTTGGAAGAAATAGTAGTGTCCTGAAAACGAAAACACATTGAATAGCTTAAATCCCCACTTGCATTTTTTAAAAAAAGAAGGTAACACACATCTGTGTTTTTACAGAATATCTATATTAGACCAGACTTATAGATGGTTTATATTAGCCATTTGAGAATATAAACGTTGGGTCCTGGCACTGGGTATCCTGTCCCTGGATATGTGTTTATCATCATTTCACCATTAAGTATCTTCAGTAATTTTATTGAGAGGATTGCTTGGTCTTAGAAACTGACTATTAAGAGGTGAGTTTTTGAAAAGTAACACTTCAGGTGGAGAACTCAGAGTGAGAGGGAAGACACTGGGCCCAGGCAGGGCACACGGAGGCCTTGATGGAGAAGGAAGACAGACAGGGGCATTGGCATAGAAGCCAAACGCCTTGGCCCAGCCAACAATTTGCTTAGGCTGACCTTGCCTGAGGATATTCCTCAACACAAACGCAAACAAGCTCAGTTTTTTTTTTATCCCACCCTTAGCCCTGCTCCATGAAAACCCACAAAGGGTGGAGGGGGCTGCCAGGAAGGGAAAAAAAATGCACGGCACAAATAAGTGTGTGAGTCCATTTTGCCCGAGACTTGCATGTGCTTACTTGCACAACTGCAAAGCTTGATGGGAACAGCAACTCCAGAGACTCAGACACATAGACGGGGCAACAACCATATGCTCCCACCTGCTAGACCACCCTAGAAATAAACTGTTGGTTCTAGCTCCCTCATTCTTCAAGCCTACCGATTCTCAACTAAGCAGACTATGAATTTTCTGTCCGTGGCCCTGTGGAGAGATTCAGGGTTCTGTTCTTTTCTGATTTGATTCCACATCCTCTGACCTTGGAGCCTTTATAATCTTCAGTGTTTTAAAAAGGGATTCCCATAATCTACTTACTGTTATTATAGTAGACTGCATCGATTTTAGGCCCAATGCCCAGAAAGGCTTTGGTAATGAATTTGGGATAACCGGGGTCCATGAGTTGTCTCCTCTCATCGTACCTGAGCAAAAAAACAATCAGTAGGACCTCCACTGAAAAATGGATTTCATGATGTAGACCTTGATATTTTATGACATGAACCACAAAACCCACCTATTCTCTCTTGAAAGGCTTTTTCTGAACAGGCTTAAACTGCGCTGATAAGATCAAAGACCTAAGCAGTTCACTGATTTATTCCTAGTCCCCACAGGACTCGGACCCTAGGAGTCCCAATTTCTGGTCAAGAACTTCCCTCGCTCCTGCGCAAGGCTTTCACCAGGACCTGGTCTTGCGTTACAGAGCCAGACTGTCTAATTTCCTGTTAGGGAAGACCTTGCAGGATTTGCTGTCACTCAGAAGATGGTCTCCTCATTTTGTCTTCCTGGGTCCAAGGTTATAAAAAGGAATCTGAAAATACCCACACTCCCTAAAGAGACTGTGTAAATTCTGGGTCTCGTACATTATACCACTATTTCCCAATGTGTCTGCACTATGATTAATAATGGAACATTTTATTTAAGGTGTTCCTTTAAAAAAAAAACACATCGTGTGCCATCTTACAAATCAGAATCCAGAAGTCCCGAGAACTGACCCAGGATGATAATTAACTATTCCAGACGTATGTTCTCTTGATCTCTCTTCTAGGAAGGTCAAGGATCCTTAGGAATTTAAACAGAAAAACTACCTACTGGAAAACCCCACTCCCTGCCCATTCCACAAATTTTAGGAGTCAAATAACCAATCATTAAAGCTCACCTCCAATATTGATTACCTACAAAGAAGTAGGTCTTATAGAGAAGTGGATTAAAAACAGCTGCATCAATTTTTTCCACAAAGTTAGGAAAGCCCAACGAACGTACATTCTTGGGATAGAGTCGTTGTGGTCTTAAGTTGCTAATTACCCAATACTTATCATCTGTGAAGATAAAGAAAAAGAATACACTGGAGTCATATAAAAAGAGTCACAGAAACACTGACTCACTACAAACAACATCATTCTTTATCCATAGTTCTAAAACATACTGCTCTTTGTTCTTGAACATGATTTGTCTCCAGTGGTTCTGTATATTTTTCACAAGTATTGTGATTGATATTTGACAAACTTTTCCTGAAATTTTTACACATTACCTAGGTATTTAAGCTATTTTTGGCTCATAGTTCAGACTCACCATTAATTAGATCTGGGGTACTTTTTTCTATGTTTATAAAAATGAGTAGTATTTCCTTCATGTATTCTCTTCCTTGAAGTACACTCAATAGCAAACTGAACATGAGAGTTACCTTTAAAAAGAAAGACTTGATTTCTGTCTCCAATTTCATAAGCAGCTTGAATGCCAGATGGTAAGGTTGGCCAGAAAGAAGAAATTAAACTAATATTGCTCTTTGGACTCTCAGGATTCCTCCACCCAAAGTATCTGATGAAAAACATTTAAAACATGTTAAAAAATCACTGTAGACTCAAGAGCCATGAAATGTTCAGTGGGAATGACCTAAAACAATGCTGTTTTTCAATATTCTTACATTCTGTTCCATGAATGTCTCTCTAGGAGCACGAGGAAAGGACCTTAATCAAGTCTTTCATAATAACAATGATCTGAATGGGCAAACCACCATATGCAAGCTTTGATACTTCAAGGGATCTAGGTTTTCATCTGCACCCACAATTCATTCACCAGTTTTGTAATCTAAATGAAGTTATTCAACCTAAATGTCCAGTTTTGGGATCTCAAGAATGGAGAATAACGAAACTGGAAATCATTTACAAGAAGAAAATTGGAAAAAAACCCCACAAATATGTGGAGACTGAGTAAGATGCTACTGAACAACCAATAAAGAATGAAGAAATCAAAAAAGGAATTAAAAATTGCCTTGAGACAAATGAAAATGAAAACATAACAGTCTAAACTCTTAGGGAAGCAGCAAAAGCAGTTCTAAGAGGGAAGTTTATAGCGATATAGGCGTACCTCAAAAAAAACAAGAGAAATCCCAAATAAACAATCTAACTTGACATCTAAAGGAACTAGAAAAAGAGCAAAGAGAGCCCAAAGCTAGTTAAAAGAAGGAAATAATAAAGATCAGAGTGGAAATACATGAAATAAAGACTGAGAAAAAATTTACAAGATCAATGAAAGTAAGATTTTGGCCTTTCAAAAGATAAACAAAATTGATAAGCCTTTATCCAGACTCACCAGAAAAAAAAAAAAAAAGAGGGCTCACATAAATACATTCAGAAATGAAAGGGAAGTTACAATGGATTCCAAAGAAATACAAACAATCACAAAAGACTACTATTAACAATTATGTGTGAACAAACTGGACAACCAGAAGAAATGGATATAATTTCTCAGAAACATACAATCTTCCAAGATTGAATCAGAAAGAAATAGAAAATTTGAACAGATGCTACCAGAAATGAAATTGAGTAATCAAACGCTCTCAACAAACAAAAATCCAGGATCAGGCAGTTTCACAGGTGAATCCTGCCAAACAATGAAAGAAGACTTAATACCTACCCTTCTCAAATTATTCCAAAAAAAAAAAAAAAAAAAAAAAGTGAAGGGGAAGGAATCTCCCAAACTCATTCTACAAGGCCAGCATTACTCTGATACCAAAATCAAACAAACGCACTACAAAAAAAGAGAATTACAGGCCGATATTCCTGATGAACATAGATACAAAAATTCTCAACAAAATATTAGCAAGCCAAATTCAACAACACATCAAAAGGATCATATACCACCATCAAGTGGAATGTATTCCAAGGATGCAAGGATGGTTCAATATCCACAAATCATTGTAATACATCACATGAACAAAACGAAGGCTAAAAAGCATATGATCGTTTCAATAGCTGCAGAAAAATAATTGGACAAAATTTAACAGTGATTCATGAGAAAAACTCTCAACAAAATGGTTATAGAGGAAATATATGTCAACATAATAAAGGCCATGCAAAGGCAAGGCAAGGCAAACCCAGAGCTAGCATTATACTAAATGGTGAAAACAGAAAGCTTTTCCTTTACCATCAGGAACAAGACCATGAAGTTCACTATTATTGGAAGTCCTAGTCACAGAAATTAGGCAAGGAAAAAAAAAGGGAGACATCCAAATTGGAAAGGAAGAAGTAAAACTGTCACTATTTGCAGATGACATAATACTACCTATACAAAACCCTACAGACACCACCAAAAAACCAGTACAATAATAAGTGAACCTAGTAAAGATTCAGGATAAAAAACCAATACACAGAAATCTGTTGTGTTTCTGTACATTAATAATAAACTATCAGAAGAAATTAATAGTACATTCCAATTTATAATTGTATCAAAAAAATAAAGTACTTCAGAATAAAATTTGCCAAGGAAGTGAAAGACCTGTACTCTGAAAACTTTTAAGATGCTAATGAAAGAATTGATGATGACACAAATAAATGGAAATCTATTCCATGCTTGTGGATTGCAAGAGGAAATATTACTAAAATATCCATACTATCCAAAGCAATTTACAGATTCAGTGAGATCTCTATCAAAATAGTTACATCACTTTTCACAGAACTAGAACAAAGACTCTTAAAATCTGTATGGAACCACAAAAGATCCTAAGTAGCCAAAGCAAACTGGAGAAAGAACAAAGCCGGAGGTAAAATGCTCCAGATTTCTACACAGCAAAATTAATCAAACCAGTATGGTGTTAGGACAACAGTCACAGAGATCAATAAACAGATTATAGGGCGCAGAAATAAACCCACACTTATATGGTCAATTAATTTATGACAAAGGAGCTGAGAACATACAACAGGGAAAGGACAGTCTCTTCAACAATTGGTGTCAGGAAAACTGGACAGCTACATGCAGAAGAATGAAACCAGACCACTTTCTTACACCACATACAGAAAAAAAACTCAAAATGGATTTTTCTGTAGAACCTGAAACCATAACACTTCTAGAAGAAAACATAGGCAGTGAGCTCTTTGACACTAGCTTTAGAGATTTCTTTTTTTTTAATCTGTCCCCTCAGACAAGGACAACAAAAGCAAAAATAGACAAGTGGGACTGCATCAAACTAAAAACCTTTTGTACAGTGAAGGAAACCATCATCAAAATGAAAAGGCAAACTATTTAACGGGAGACTCCTGCCGGAGATATATCCAATAAAATGTTAACATCCAAAATATATAAAGAACTCATACAACTTGATATTTAAAAAAAAAATCAATCTGATAAAAAAAAATAGAGGCCTGGCACAGATATTTTTCCAGAGAAGACCTACAGATAGCCAACAGAGACATGAATAGATGCTCAACACCACTAACTATCAGGAAATGCAAATAAAACCACAACGAGCTATGACCTTACTCCTGTCGAAATGACCGTCATCAAAAAGACAAGAAATAACATGTGGTGGTGAAGATGTGGAGAAAAGGAAGCCCTCAAGCACCGTTGGTGGGAATGCAGATTGGTGCAGCTACTCTGGAAAATAGTATGGAGCCTCTTTACAAAGTTAGTTATAAAAAAAAAAATGCCATATGACCTACCAGCTCCACTTCTAAGTATTTATGCAAAGCACACAAAACGCTCATTAGAAAAGACATACGTACCCTTATGGTCATTGCGGCATGATTCACAATAGCCAAGATACAGAAGCGACTTAAATGTGCACTGATAGATGAATGGATAAAGAAGATGTGGTATGTATACAACGGAATACTGGCCATAAAAAAAGAATGAAATCTTGCCATTAGCGACAACAGGGGGGGCCTAGAGCATATCAGGCTAAGTGAAGGGAGTCAGGCAGAGAAAGAAACATCATGTGATTTCACTTAGATGTGGAGTCTACAAAACAACAAAAACAAATGAACAAACAAAACAGAAGAGAAGCAGACTCACAGATACACACTGATGGTTGCCAGAGGGGAGTCAGTCAGGGGTAGACAAAATAGCTGGAGGGGATCCAGAGGCATAAACTTCGGTGATGAAATAAGTAAGACACAGACAGGTAACGTACAGCATAAGGAATACAGTCAATAATGTTGTAAGAACTTTAAGTGGTGACAGATGGTAACTAGACTTACTCTGGTGACCTTTGGTAATATACATAAATATGAAATTACTGTGTTGAGCACCTGAAACTAATACGATGTTGTATGTCAATTACTCTTCCATTTAAAAAATGGAGAATATTTGTCCCATCCATCAAATACTAATTTTCTCCACTCCTCATACCTCCAATACCTGCTTCAATCTGTGCTCTAAGGCAGAAACCATTCTGTTATCCTGGAATTACTTTCTCTGTAATCAAGAATCAAGACTTTTAATAGGTACTGTCACACCTGTAGTCCCAGACTTAACCATTTTTACCTGTGATTAAAATAGCCTTGTTCCACTTCTTCCTGTCTTGTCTTTCCTCACCCCAGATTCATACTGTAAATCCTTTTTTTTTTTTTTTTTACTTACTAATCTTATCATTAAACACAAATGCAATCACACCATTCTCTTCCTTCAAAACCTTCAGGCTGTCTACTTCCTACAGAATTCAGTCCAAGTCCCTCTTCATTTTCATCTACGTCATTCTCTATCATTTTCCACGATTCTCTGACCAAAAGAAAAATAAATAAATCCAAGGACAGAGCCTCCCATATTGGCTAGATGTAAGGAGGATTCTTCTACCTGTCTTTAAAGAAAATGATTTTATTTCCCACAGTAGTGGCAGCGTCAAGACTCAGACTGGGGTTGCAGGTGGCCGATTCTGTAGTGTCAGCATGTGATGGGGGTTGGCGCCTTTCTGGACCTCCTGAAAAATACATTTCAAGAAGCATTAGGGAAAAAAATCTGCATTTTAGCTGCTAAAGGGAAGAATCATTCTTTTACAACATTCACTCTTCGGGATGAGAAATGCATAAAAAGCAACTTAGGCTTCCTATAATATTCATAGGAAGCATATAATAAAGATCTTTCTCCCACATGGTTGCAACATCATGGGAGGGGAAAAATCTGATCACTCCAGTTTTCCTGTTCCGGTCAGATTATTTCTCTGTGTGCCTTCGTCAAAGGCAATGGTATGTTGGACAGAAAGAACACGCTTGAGGCCAGAAGACTCAGAATGTGCCCCTGTCACTGGCATTAGCACACCGGGTCTCCGTGCTTTTCTGTAAAATGAAGATAATATCTGGGTGACCTACCTCACAGGGTTTTCAGGGGGCTCAAGAGAAAAGATCCATGTTAAAGTTTTTTCAGATGCAGATATTATGAGACTATTCATGAGAGTGAGTATCTTTGTGAAGCAAAATGGTAAAGCAATTCAACTCACCATAGAGAGACTGAATGCCACGTACGTCATCAGAAGAGAGGCGAAAGGTGTTGGGGTCAACGTAACTGTAAGTAGGGAACATTATGGCTTTTGGATCACTGGAATGGCCAAGACCCAAGGAATGGCCAAGCTCATGAACAGCAACTAGGAACAAGCTTGTGCCTAAGAGGAAATCAGAGGGGGGGAAAGAGCAGTGAAATATATTTGCATCCAGAGGACAATGACACAACTGAAATCTGACACAATGAAAGGGACGCATTTGCGAATGCTTTACTTATTTCCTTTCTCTCTTACATAAGGTTTTTTGATGTCAGCACTATTGACTTTATAGGCCAGATAATCCCTTGTTGTTAGGGCTGTTCTGTGTATCACAGATGTCTAGAAATCTCTGGGTCTGCCACATAAAATTCTTTCTTGTTTTTTAACATTTATTCATTTTTGAGAGAGAGATAGAGAGCGTGAGCAAGGGAGGGGCAGAGAGAGGGGGACAGAATATCTGAAGCAGGTTCTGTGCTGACAGCAGAGAGCCCCTTGTGGAGCTCGAACCCACAAACTGCGAGATCATGACCTGAGCCAAAGTCGGACGCTTAACCGACTGAGCCACCCAGGCGCCCTCGGGTTTGCCACTTAAATTCAAGTAGCATACTCCCTCCACTTCGACAACCAAAAATGTCTCTCCACACCATCAAATTTCCCGTTGGGGGCAAAAAGGATCACAGCAGCAGCTCACATGACATGTGTTCTGTCGTGAACACTTCTAGAATGTTGTCTTGTCGCTGTGTTTACTGGTTCTCACCACTTCTACAACATTCCTGTTCCATTCCGCAGGTACGCTTGATCAGACTTCAGTGGATATGGAAATGTCTTTACTAACCATCCTTTACTAAACCCAAATAAAAGGCCAAATTAAGTTCCAGGTCCTCTGAGCCACCAAGGAATGTATCATACCCTGTCTGTTCCTTGCGAAACTCGAAAGGAAGCCAGCACTCAGTCTATTTACGGACGAGGACACAGTATCAGCAAGATTAATGGACCAAATTAAGGGCTTGAACCAAGAATCAAATCTAAATGTCTTGGCTCAAAAGCTCCTTTTTTTACTATACATGACTCAAAATGAAGGCAAAGTCTATGCTTACAATGTAGACACAGTGACGTCACCAAGTTACAGTCTCACCTGTTCATTTTTTCTGTATGTTCTAGAGAGATGCACATTTGTAGGGAAGAGAGAAGGGGCGTGTCCTTTCTCTCACATTTCTCAGTTTTCAGAAGATTTGACTAGCTCCGGACTGTTATGATTTTTTTTTTAAATCTCTGTTCTACTCCCACGCCTTCATTTCTATCTTTCTTTTTCTACGGCACAACTGAAGCTCAGAAAAATAGATTTTCCCAGAGTCACACGCCATTTAGCTGCAGGGTGTGGCCAGTACCCAAGAGCGAGCATCTCTGGGGTGGTCTTCAGGAACACAGACCCCCTAAGCATTCCCTCTAACACTGGGCTGAGCAACTAACTCACTTCTCTCCAATAATGAGAAAGAACCAAAGACTCATTCTCTGCATTCTGCCTAAAACCGGGAAAAGTAAACAAAACCTATTACATTTTGACCTAAATCCTAAATTTATCCTAGTCTCCATCCCTGTAATGTGTTGCGCACAAGACCACCACCGGTTCTTATCTCAAAATCCTGGGTGTCTGTCTGTCCTCTGTTTCCCACCCCATCGTGTGCTTTTTGTCTCAGTGCAAAACTCCTCTTCTCGATAAAGAACTTAATAAGCCTTGGGGCATGCATCAGACTAAAACAAACAGCCTTTCTGGTCTGTAAAAACATTGCCATCCGATGCATGTAGTATCGGCCAGAGAGAGGGGGATGCTGAGAGGAGCTCATTCTTGAAGACCTTCCTTCCAATCACTTCCCTCGTGAGTCAGTCATACAGCATAGAATTTCCCACAGAGAGATTAGGAAGGCTTGTGATAGGATGGTTTGAATTTTCCAGTGGGTAGTGATTCCTTCAAACAGGGGAGAGTAGTTGTTCCTCTTCCCCAACTGCCTGAGAGGGATGGTGAGTTACAGCCTCCTCCGTAAATACACACAAGGTATTGCTTTGTTCAAGGGTCAGCTGGGCAACCTGAAATTTCTATCCCGGAAGCTCAGGAGACTATGTGACCATATAACCTTGTGTTTTGCGACAGGCATTTCTAAACTTTCTATTATAGAACTTCATCTTTCTGCGCCACTAGAAACCTAAGGAAACGTCAGCATATGATGACATGTGTGGATGACCACGTACATGAGGACGGCTGTATGCCCAGGGTTGGCATCTGCTTTTGCTGGACTTCACGGACTGTGCCGTCAAGAACTGACCGCCTAAATGCTTTTACCTTTCCAAACTATGGCTTCTCAGCTTCCCGAGTTCACACTCCGGGTGAGCTTTTATTTTTGCCTACCTCTGTAGTTCGCAGTCCAGGTTTCAGCCTCGTCGAAATGTGTGTCTCCCCCAATACCGGGTCCGGGTCCGAAAGCATGGGCTATGATTCCCCCTCTGCCGTCAAAAGGACTGAAGTCTCCATGAGCTTTTGAAAGAGTAAAGACAATTAGTCCTTCTTTACAGACAACAGGTCGTGCCAATGACACAGATGAAAGAAGTCCACCTCCTTTACCTCCAGAGGCAAATCCGATCATAATGTCAGCCTCTCCTGAGTGAATTTTCCTGAATTTCAGGGGAGTCACATCACTCCATACTTGAAAAGCTTTTTGGATGGCATAGTCAACATCTGCAGGCTTCATGTCAGGAGTGTAACTGTTGATTCTGTATGAGAGGGAGAGGGAGAGGGAGAGGGAGAGGGAGAGGGAGAGGGAGAGGGAGAGGGAGAGGGAGAGGGAGAGGGAGAGGGAGAGGGAGAGAGAGAAATATATGGGAACCATGTGTTAGTTCTTATTGTGACACCTCACTTCTGTCTGCATCGCTGGAGAAAGAATCACCTCGTAAATCGATACTCTGGATAACCAAACCCCACATCATTAACTACTAAAACATGTATCCTTGGACAGCTTCCTCCTGAAACAGAATCTAACTGGATTTCTTCTCATTTATGATTTATGGGTTTTCTCTGCGAAGGACTTACATTCATAGAAGCCTATGCCTTTTGTCCCCACTCCCAGACGTCTGGATTTATTCACCTTGACTATCCTATAAAATGCTCTCTTGTCTCTTGTTTATCATAGATATAGCTTAATTCTCCTTTTATTTGAAGGCTTTCTACTCTGCTCTGGGTGGACAAGCCAAACAGTCCCTCTTTGAGTGAACAATCCCCCCTTCCAGGAAGAACGAATTTTAACACAGGGATGGCGTTGACAATCGAGAGAGGCTTCTCACCTACTCTCAGACTTGGGGCTATATCTAAATGGTTCGGGCTTCTGGAAGTCAGACCTCAGGGAAAGGAGAAAACCGCCACGACGTTACCTGTAGGTGAGAAAGCGTTTCCTCCACACTGGCCTCCCTGCCAGTGTCCTGAACTCGTGGACATCAGGAACCCCACATCGGGGCATGTGCATCATGTCCAGAGTAGAGGCGTCCAGTCTCCCAGTCACTTTCAGCCCCAAGAACTGCTGCATTTCCTGAAGTTTATTCTTCATCAAGTTCGGACTGACTTTCATTTTTGTCACTGGAACTCCATCCATGACAAAACCGTAAAAGGATGCCAGGTACCTCTGGAAAGATGTACTTCGTTAGACGCTCTACTTTAGTTAGACATTCTACTACACGGAAAGGATTCTGAGGCACCTCTGTATATATGACTCAACGGTACACTGATGCTTCTGAACCAGGTATCAGACAATTAATTATAATGAGAAAAAAATCTTTATTTTCTGTGCCGTCAAGGTGAAGTCATAAACCATTAGCGATATTGATTGCTGGAAGCCCACTGAAAACACCTTGATGTCTCCCTACCTCTCTGAATGGGCTTCTATTTTTTTAAAATATATTTCAGCATCTAGCACATCACAGCATCAAGTAAAGAGCAAGACCTTCATTGTCAGGATGCACAAATTATTAGTTTAAGTTGGGATAAAATTTTCCTGCTTACAAATCCAAAGCTCAACACAATGGACAACCACGACAAGTTCAAAGTGAAAAGAGTCTTGGAAAACGGGGAGAGCATCCAAACTCATAATTAGAGGAAAGAGACAAATGGAAAAAAAAAATCCTGTTTTTTATTTTTAATTTTTTTAACGTTTACTTATTTTTGAGACAGAGAGAGACAGAGCATGAATGGGAGAGGGTCAGAGAGAGGGAGACACAGAATCTGAAACAGGCTCCAGGCTCCGAGCTGTCAGCACAGAGCCCGACGTGGGGCTCGAACTCATGGACCGTGAGATCATGACCTGAGCCGAAGTTGGCTGCTTAACCAACTGAGCCACTCAGGCGCCCCAAAAAATCCTGTTTTTAAAAAAAAGCTCATGAAGAAACAGCTGGGATGACTGAAGGTAACAAGTCGTCTTGAAAGATCATGGTGGGCTGAAGCGGTTAAATAATGAAGCCACTGCTTAAACCTCAGATTGTTAAATGACATTAAACGATGATTGTAAGACACAGACCAGATGTACGACTCCAATTATTTTTTAACTAAAACTCTTTGGCCACAGCATTTTAGCAAAAGAAACAAAGTCATCCCCCAATTTCATAAAACTTTCAAAACCAGTACTTCTCCTACATTCGTCTGTGGCAAAGAAAAATACAGCGTTCAAAGCAAAGAGCCGCCTAAACCGGTTTGCAACTAGTCCGTGTCAAGAGAAAACTGGTCAATGGGATCAATTTTGAAGACAAAAGTCAGGCTTCGTAAATGCTGTGGGGTCAGTACTTACTTCAGCGAAGAGCACATCGTTCTCCTCAGAGCCTGTGGAGTTAGTCAGAGGAACGGCTCCAGAGGCAGCGGCCTGTAGGACCAGCATCAACAGAGGAAACTTCATTCTCCACTTCTGAAGGGTTCTCCCCAACTAACCCTGTTCCTCCTCCGTGCAAAGTTCCTCAAATGTCCCTGCTTATATAGCCCTTAGGCCCTGTTCTGTGAATATGAAATCCTGAGTGACTCACAGTTGATATCATCCCTTGACTTATCTCAAAAACCCGCAAACACCAAGCACAGATATTTTTCTAGGACCAACAATGGGTCAATTAGCACCAAACTCATGACTCAGGCAATTCAGAGTATATTTCCTCAAAATAAAGAGGCCCTATGAAATAAGGCATTATATGAGGACCACTAAGCACTACAATGTTACAGTAACTTAGAAACTTATGTCTAGAAAGCTCAGTGTCTGAATTTTTGCTATAATAATTTCCTTTTATTTATTATAGGCAAAATAAGCTTTTTAAAAAACATGTAAAAAGTTGGATGCATAAAGGCCTTTTTTCTAACTTGGAAGAATCCTCTCCAAGCTGAGTCTAGCTCCCTAGAGAACTGTGATGTATGGAAACATCGTGTTGAACAAGGAAAAGTCTGTAACATCACGATGCTTTGATGTTTTGTTCTGTGTGCAGGCTGTGGAGACAGATCCCAGAGGCGGATCCCCGTGCCTCCCTAACTGGCTGGAGTCAGCAGCTTACGGTCAACTGTGTAAGGGGAAACGTTTGCTCCCGGAATTGATCTCCCTCTCCGCTCAGCTCCCCCCTTTTCCCTTGATGTGTTGCTCTGTTCGCACAGCATCTGCCTCTCAGTCAGTAGGGAATGCTCGAAGACGAGCATTAGATTCCATCTAAGAATCCAGGAATAAACCACGATGGTGGAAGCGTGAGCGGTGGGGCTGTCCCCCAATTCTGTGCGAACGGTCTGGTGGTTGAGGGGTCGCATGACACTGGGTTAGGGTTCAGCCATTGCTGTCACCCACCTCCCAGTGGGTCCCCAGCACTTCCCTGAGGCTGATGCTCCGGGAAAACAAGGGATGTGTCTGCCCTACAGCCGGCATCCCACCTCCAACTCTGCCCTTTCAGGCTCTCTGATTTGACCTCTAGGATCTTCAGCTGTTTCGTCTGAAATGAGGCTGATAACCTTCACCTCCTTATGCTTTTGTGATGATTACGCAAGACGGTGTATTATAAATACCAGCGTATAGTCATATTATCCGTCTATAGTGGTATAGACGAATATTCACGTCCTTTCTCTCGGCCCAAAAGGAGAGCATCATGCACCTTCAGGGTGCACCCAGGTGAGGCTGTATGCCCCACAAAAACGAGGATCAAGCACAAGTACTGGAAGGCAGTTCTGTCAGATACTGAACTTAAGAATCATTGGAGAAGCATGATGGTCTGTCTAGGAAGAGGCAGAACATGGGATTTAGAGAAAACATGGGAGGGGCTGGTTCTTTGGCCGCAGAGCGTTGCCCCATGAGGGCAGGGTCTGGCTGCGTTGTTCAGCCCTGTATTTCTGGTGCCTAAAACCACCTTGAGGTTAGTAGGTGCTCAAGAAATAGGTATGGAGCAATCTCGTTGGAGAATAGGGCCGGTAGAACAACAGTAGTGAACTGCCTTTGTGGGAGCCGTTGTTACACAGCAGGTGTGCCCCTAAACCTCACTTCAAAGCACACGAGAACCCGTCATATTCCTAAGCAGGAAGGGGTCGGGTACGGGGAAGACTTTCAGGAAGTCTAGAAAGCGTAGGATGTAAAATACAAGGTAAAAGCCACCCAACTACAAAGGAAGTGAAAAATGTCCTCACTGGAAGCTGTCTTTAAAAGCAAAAAACAAAACAAAACAAAAAACTGGGGTAGCTCGTGGCTTAGTAGGTTAAGTGTCCGACTTTAGCTCAGGTCATAATCTCACGGTTTGCGGGTTTGAGCGCCACATCAGGCTCTGCGCTGACAGCGTGGAGCCTGCTTGGGACTCTGTCTCTCTCTCCCTCTCTCTCTGCCCCTCCCCCACTTGCTCCCAATCTCTCTCAAAAATAAACAAACATTAAAAAAAAAACAAAATCCTGGGGCACCTGGGTGGCGCAGTCGGTTAAGCGTCCGACTTCAGCCAGGTCACAATCTCGCGGTCCGTGAGTTCGAGCCCCGCGTCGGGCTCTGGGCTGATGGCTCAGAGCCTGGAGCCTGTTTCCGATTCTGTGTCTCCCTCTCTCTCTGCCCCTCCCCCGTTCATGCTCTGTCTTTCTCTGTCCCAAAAATAAATAAACGTTGAA